ACTTTTCTATATCTAGTGGACATGTGTTTTAATTTGTTTCTCTATAGCTGTGATAAAACACTGTGACTAAAACCAATTTGGGGAGGTAAGGGCTTATTTCAGCTTCTAACTCCCAGGTCACAATTCATCTTTGAGGGAAGTCAGGCAGGAGCTTAGAGGCAGGAACTGAAGGACAAGCCACGGAGTTTTGAGAAAGCCTTCTTTTTTAAAAATTTTTATTTATCATTTTTATGTGTATGAGTGTATTGCCTGTATGTTGGTGGGTGCACTCTGACAAAGGTCAGAAGAGGGTGTTGGATCTCCTGAAACAGGAGTTATGGATGGTTGTTAGCCACCACGTGGGTGATGGAAATTGAACCTGGGTTCTCTTCAAGAGCAGCCAGTGCTCTTAACCACTGAGCTATCACTCTAGTCCCTCAGTCTACTGTCTTATATATAACCTAGGGCCACCCAATCAGTGGTGGCAGGCCCACAACATATCTATTAGCAATTAAGGAAATGCTTCATAGTCAAGGCCACAGGCCAATCTGAAGGACATGATGCATCAGTTGAGCGTCCATCTTCCAGGTGTGTCAAGTTGACAACTGAAGCTGCCCAGCACATGTGAGCTACAAAATCCCGAGGAAGAGGACGACTACTGATCTGGGACCTGATGTTGTTTGGTTGATTGGTTTTAGCTTATGCACAAGCAAGGCTGTAGTGTCTCCTGCTTATTAAAAGCTGACTAGCTCTAAGGACGAGTTTTGACCTGGAGGCTCTCTAGTTATGAGGAATCTCTTACAAGAAACCCAGGAGTAACAGGAGGGAAGAATGCTAAACAATGCTTTTGAAATGGGGAGGCAGCTCAGGGGTAGAGCACTTGTCTAGTTTGTGCAAGGCCCTGGGTTCAACCTTCAGCAACACGAAAAGCAAAATGCAAAGCAAAGCAAACAAAACAAAACAAAACAAAAAACTGTAGGCTGGGAGTATTTTGAGCCTGTGATTCCAGCACTGGAGAGGCCAAGGCAGGTGGTCAACACAGGCTTGAGGCCACCTGTTCTGTGATGGTGCCACAGTAAAGAAAACTAACTCTTGGAGTTGTTTAATCAAGAGTAGGCCCAATCTGAGCCAGGCGTGGTGGTGCACGCCTTTAATCCCAGAACTCAGGAGGCAGAGGCAGGCAGATCTCTGTGAGTTCAAGGCCAGCCTGGTCTGGAGTTCCAGGACAGCTGGGGCTACAGAGAGACCCTGTCTCAAAAAGACAAAAAAAAAAAAAAAGAGTAGGCCCAATCTGTTCTGAAGTGCTCTGATTTCTCTCAGAACTGTTCTAACAAAGGATGCTCTCTCTCTCTTTTTATTGAACAGCACACTCAAGCAAAGTAAAGGACAGGAATGAGCAATCTTTGATAAGAGTTTTGCAAAGGAAGAAGCTCTGTCTCTGACCCTACTGATTCAGAACAGCATACAAAACACACAAAGATATCATCAACCTATGCCCACATGCTGTTTACAACATTTCTTGGGGAGGGACACATTATTCTAAAAATTTTTATTTGCCAGGCATGATGGTGCACACCTTTAGTCCCAGCACTTGGGAGGCAGAGACAGAGGGATCTCTGTGAGTTCAAGGCCAGCCTGGTGTACAAAGTGAATTCCAGGCCAGCTGGGGCTATAGCTGTCTCAAAAAGAATTCCAAAGATATTTTTATTTATCTATATTTCTATTTTTTTATGTGTATGCGTGTATTGCCTGCAAGAATGTAAGTGCATCCGTGTCTGCAGTGCCTGAGGAGGTCAGAAGAGGGCGTCAGATCCCCTGGAACTGGGCGGTTGGTAGCCACCATGTGAATGCTGGGAATCAAACCCAGGTCCTCTGCAAGAGCAGCCAGTGCTCTTAATGGTTGAGCCGTCTCTCCAGCCCAGAACATGTTATTTTCAATGTCACTGCTTTCAGTGGGTGGTCTTAGGTCTAATTACTACATCTTACACGTATGTACACTATTATGAGTCAGGAACATAAATGAATCATGAAGGAGAAAGAGGGATCATGGTATGATATTAAAGCTTAGCTTGTAAAAGTTCAGGGCATGGGGAGTTCATTGTTTTTCTAAAGAACCTGCATGCACGGTACACAAGCAGATTGAGTACATGGGTCTAAATGTTCTCAAAACACGATTAACTCGGTTACAAGGTTACACAAAAGTTCAGTCTGTAAAGACTTGTTACAAAAGTCATTTCCAGAAAAGTCATTCTCACAGTATACTTTTTTTTTGAGACAGTGTTTTGCCTATGTAGCCCTGGATGGTCTGGAACTCACTGTGTAGGTCAAACTGGCCTCAAACTCACAAAGATCTGCTTGCCTCTACCTTCTGAGTCCTGGAATTAAAGGCATGGACCACCACACCTGGCAGTGTACAAGCTTTTTTTTTTCTTTTTCTGCATTTTTGTTTTTGTTTTGCCGCAGGGTCTCTCATTATGTAGCCCTGGTTGACCTGGAATTTGCTATGTAGATCAGGCTGGCCTCAAACTCACAACCTATCTCTGTCTCCTGAGTGCCGGGATTAAAAGCATACACCACTACACCCAGCACTTTGCGAGTTTTTATGTACCGTATGTTTTCATTTCTCTGGGTTAAACATCTAGGAGTGTAATTGTTAGGATATGTGGTAAATGCAAATTCAGCTTTTTGTCTGTTTGCTTTTGGTAGAATTGCATGTGGCCCAAGTGGCTTCAACCTTGCTATATAGTGGAAGCTGGCCCGAGTTCTTTTTGTTGTTGTTTTGAGAGAAGGTCTCACTATGTAGGCCTGGCTAACCTGGAACTTCCTATGTAGACCAGGCTGGCCTCGAACATGCCTCTGCCTGCCTCTGTCTTCCTGAGTACTATGATTAAAGGCATGCGTCTATACAGCTGGCTTCTTCTATCTTTCTATAGCTAGCAATCAATCAGTCATGCATTTTGCTTATCTAGAAGCCAGATGCTGTTATATAACTTTCATTACTTGGGGTTGAGGCTATAACTCAGTTGGCAGAGTGCTTTCAATGCATGCACAAAGCCCTGGGTTCCATTCCCAGAACCTAAAAAACAAATACAAAACTAAAAACCGTTATCTATCCATAGCATCCAAGTCATCTTATTCTTTGAGCCTGTTGCTCTATTTGCAAAATATAGAGTCAGTCTGAGCCTTTAGGTATAAGCCTTAATTACTTTGAGGCTCTAGGGTGTTGTTTGAATCTAGGGAAAGCAGTGAGATTATACTGTTGACAGTATAATCTTCCCTGTGTGTTATTTCTATTTATTATTTATTTATTTATTTATTTATTTATATCCTTGTGTGCTATAAGCCTTAATTACTTTGAGGCTCTAGGGTGTTGTTTGAATCTAGGGAAAGCAGTGAGATTATACTGTTGACAGTATAATCTTCCCTGTGTGTTATTTCTATTTATTATTTATTTATTTATTTATTTATTTATATTTCCTTGTGTGCTATTTCTAAAGAGGAAAATGTTGTTGATGGTGTGGGCAATGAGCAAGTACTAGCAACTGCTGTGTAACAGAAAGAACGACAATAGCCACCACATTCACTCTCCAAGGCCTTATGTCATATTCACAACATCCCTACAAGTCCGGCGTGACTGTTACCCAAATTTAGAAGATAAACTTTACCCTAGAAAAAGAAATAATAGAAATAAAAACCTATCTGGTCTAAAGGTTATGCTTAGATCACAGACTTAGGTCCTTTTTAAATATTCCATCTAAAGTGTGTTCCAAATATTTTTAGTAATACGCAAACCCCTCAGTCATAAGAAGCAGGGGGCGCCTGTAGTTGAATATATTATTCCATCCTGACCCTGGGCTGTTGGTGAGCTCATCCAAGAATTCTTGATTGCTTCTTTGAGTTGTAAAGCGACTTCACCAGAGTGAGTGAATGGATGAACGTACACCAGGAATGCATGCCCAAGAGGGAGAAGTGCACCAGGACCTTGTACTAACGGTCAATAAGAGTTAATTGCTCTCATTATTATAAATTACAAACATCAGCACTGCGAAGAGTCGCTCAATAGATGTTGTAGAGGCTGGGCACAGTGGTGCACGCCTGTAGTCTCAGTGCTCGCCGAGGCAGTTCTAGGACATCCAGCACTGTATAGCAAGACCCTGAAAAAACGAGAAAGGAAAAAAGAAGACCTTGTAGGTTACAGAAGCATCTCTCAGATCACCATTTGTTAATTCCTGCCTGATGACTAAGGAAAACGGTCTTCTAATAAGCCTTGTTTGTGGCTGGAAAAGATTTTTATAGCGTCCCTACAGTTCCCAGGGTGTTTTTAATAACACTATTTCATGATGTGAGTGCTGGAAAAGTGAACTTTGGTGCTGACACCCTAAACGTCTTGGTTTTATTCACTGGGTACAAGGACTGATGACGACATCACTGCTTTGAACACTCTTTTTCTAGGGCTAAATAATTAGATTTGCAAAATTGAATTTTTTTAAATGAATGTGCTGGAGGATGGAAAGAAACAGAGTGCAGGGCTTGGCAAAGGCTCAGGTTAAAATATGGGAAAGTTTATGATTAACTCAAATGCTCTAAATAGTCAAATGAAGTCATGACACAGTTACAAAACTTGAAAAGCAAAACCTGTGTCAGAGAGGTGATCCACATTAAAGAAAACAAAATACCAACATTGCAGGAGTGTCAGGAATAGGTTTAAGGTAGAATACGTGGAGAACATAAGACAACTATTCGAAATCCATGCACAAGGTCAGCCTGCAATAAACCACAGGTTAGTTAGTAGGTGTAACTCAGGACAGAGAGCAATTGACTGATGAAATGAAACTGTCTGCAGTTTCCCAGACTGAAAGACATTTCCTGTCATTGCCCAAATAGCTTCACATCAAAGTGTTTGTGGGATCAGAGAGGCAAATTAGCTGAGCGTGCTGGGTAGGGGAATAAAGGGAGGGCAATGGGTTTAGGAAGTCAGTTTGTGTTTAAAAGCCCACAGAACACAAGGAGATAGCTATTTTATGCAGACCAATATCTGGGTACCGCTTACAAAGAAAGCCCTAGGAAAAAAGATACAAGAACATCTGAAGCTATTTACAAGTGTAGGTAAGTCACAGTGGTGTTGGATGCCCAGGGAAAAACATTGGGAAAAAGTTTTTTTTAAGTAACAAAGCCGGAGGGGGTGGGGAGGGTCGTCCCTGCCTGTGATCTCAGCAGTTTGGAGGCTGGAGTAGGATGTGGAGGGTTTGAGGGTAGCCTGTGTGATATAGTGAGACCCTGCCTCTCATTCTGTGTCCCCCCACATTTCAAAATTATTTAGACAATTGATAAAATTAAAATACAGTGTTTTAAGAAAGAGGGTTGGAGCTGGAGAGAGAGATGGCTCAGTGGTTGACAGCACTGGCTGCTTTTGCAGAGCACCTGGGTTCTACTCCCAGTACCCACATGATGGCTAACAATCGTCTGTAACTCCAGGCCCAGGGGAATCTGGCGCCCCCTTCTGACCTCCATGGTCATTGCACAACACGGGTGCACTCACATACATGTAGGCAATACACTCATGCACATAAAATAAGAAATAAAAATTTTTTTTAAAGGGCCGGGGCTTAGCTCAGTGGTAGAGTATTTGCTTCACATGCATGAGATTCTAGGTTCAGTCCCCAGTACCACCAAGACAAAACAAAACAAACAAGCCCAGTGTGTGACTAGCTGGGAGTATTATATGTTAGTGTTTGACCTACTAAAGCTTAAAATTGTACTCCAGGAGAATAGCCTTGTTTTTAGGAAACACTGGGGTTACAGGCATGAGCCACAGCACCCACATGAGACACGGGCTAACACCTCATCACTCACTAGCGTACACGCGCGCACACACACACACACACACACACACATGTATATATTTGAATCCTTCTGGAGCTGGACATGGAACCTGAGGCCTGTGCATGCCAGGCAGATGCTGAATCACTGAGCCGCATCCCAAACTTTCTCACTAGGATTTATTAGCCAGGGGACCCCAGGAGTGTTTCTCTTCTGTAGTTTCAGATTCTGTCTGTGTTTCTCTCTGTTGTTGCTTTGTTGTTGAGACAGGATTCCAAGTCCCTGCTGGCACTGAGCTCAGTGTATTCCTGAGGATGACTTTGAACTTCTGATCCTTCTGCCTCCACCTACCAAGTACTAAGACTACGGGCGAAGGCATGCACTACCATGCCAAGGTCTTGTGGTGCTGGGGATTAAACCCAGGGCTTTGTGTGCTCATCAAGCTCTCTACCAACTGAGCAACATCTCCAGTCCATTTGCTTCATTATTAGCGTGTTTCCTTCCCGAGACTGCAAACTCAATCAGTGTGAATACTTGGCCGCTAGGAGGCCTTTAGCAGGGAAGCAAGGAAGCAAGCATGACCGAAATGTTTTCTTTCTTACTAATAAAGCTGGAGTGGTGGTGGCTGATGACTATAATTTCAGCATTTACAAGGCTGAAGCAGGATGTGGGGAGTTTGAGGCCAGCCTGTGCTACGTAGTGAGACCCTGCCTCATGTTTCCCCTGCCCTCCCAAATTCAATACTATTTAGACAGGGGGCCGAGGGGTGGAATCAGAATGAATTTAGTACTTTTTCTATTCATTCTTATCTCTTTTGTGGAGAAGAGTAATAATGAGAGAAATAAATATGGGATAAAAACAGATACATTGTCTGCTATGATCATTCTAGTCTTTCCCTGACAGTAAGGTTCTCTGTAGGAATTTCTCTACACTCATTTGTCTTAACTGTCCTCTTTGGTGATTTAGAAATAATTTCTCTTTAAGAATTGATTGGTGGCTGGGGATGTAGCTCAGTGGCCGAGCTCAGCACCACAAGAAGAATCAATTGGTGACAAGTTCCCTTATTGATTCCACATATGCAAACCAATTTCAGAACCACTTTCTCTGATCATCTGCCCAGTCCTCAAGACTCACGCCTTAGTGCACATGAGTAGGAAGGGGCAGAAGAAATGGGCTTTAGGTGGGTAAAATAGCATGGAGAACTGAGAAGAGACCTCAAAGCCCTTGCTGCTGGCTTGAGCAGACCAACCAACCGAGCCAATGTTTATACCACGCCTTCGTTTTCCTCCTTCTCTCCAGGCAAAATGAAGGTGACTCTGGTTCATATTTCTTTTGCACTGCTGCTGCTGCTGCTAGGCCTCGGGCTGGGCCTGGGGCTGGGCCTTCACATGGCTGCAGCCGTCCTAGAAGGTGGTGGTCAGCCACTGAGTGAGTTTTGGTCCAGTGACTCCCAGGACAAAGCCGAGGCCACTGAAGAGGGACAGGGCCTCCAAACCATGGAAACCCTTGTGCTTAGCTCCAAAGAAATAGCACAACCTGGATGGCCAGAAGACACCATTCTTAGTGAAGATGAGGTTGGAGGAAGCAGGATGCTGAGGGCTGAGGCTGTCTTTCAGAGCAACAAAGACTACCTTAGGCTTGACTTGAATACCAGGGAATGTAATTCCATGATGGCACACAAGGTAAAGGGAAATAATCACAGCTGCATCGACCAGTACACGTTCATCCACGAGGATCCAAGCACAGTCAAAGCCGTCTGCAACAGTCCTGTGGTCGCCTGTGATCTCAAAGGAGCCAAATGTCACAGAAGCCACCGGCCTTTTGATTTGACATTCTGCAAGTTGTCCAAACCAGGCGAAGTCACTCCCAACTGCAATTACATAACTTACATTCTGGAAAAGGTTGTTATCATGACGTGCGGTGACTTGAAGCTGCAGTCAACCTTGGAATGATGAAGCAGGTTGTCTGTTTTCTTTGCCTTCAACTTTACTGTCCCCACCCCCGCCCCGCACACCTTAGGTAGACTATGAAGATTTCAGGAATTGAAGATGGACTATTGCTTATCATTGTCTTCTGAAAATATAATTCTCCTTTGCATTAAGGGTCTTCTAACTTGCATTTTGTTTCTGGGGTCAGAAGTGGCAAAATACTAATGTCTAGTGTTTCTTAGTTCTCGCTCATCTTCCAAGAACTACTCTAGTCTCTCCCATAGCCCTTCTCGTCAGCCTGTTCCCTGGTCTTAGTTCATCTTTGTGTGTGGACTGGAAGCATTCACTGCATCGTCTACCCACCTCCTTCCCTGCTACCCACGTGGGCCTCTATGGCCGTCACGTAAGACTCCTGGGCCATGCACAATACAGCACACTTCTCTGCTGCAGATGCGATTAAAGTGATTTTATCTGTGAGTATGTCTGGAAAGCCATGTGGTCCCACTTCTTTCCCTGAGCCTGGAGAATTGCAGGGCCTGCTGGTGAGGAGGTATGATGTACGCCGAGGGAGTGGCTGCGTGGGCAAGCCCCACTCTCCACAGTCTCTCTCTCCTCTCCTACTTTCATACTTCTCTTTGCTTCTGTTTTCTTTTTCATTCACTTCTTTCTTTCATCTTATTTTTCTATATTTTCCTTTTCTTTGGGGGTGTGAGGTGTATTGGGAGAGAGGAAAGGGTTGGGGAGAAGGAGGAGGAGAAGGTATTTTCTAAATTAGAACTGAAACCTAGCATAGTGCTCACATTGGGTGCTCTGTAGATGTGGACCGGATGGCATGGGAGGGCGGTCTCTCTCTCTCTCAGCTCTATTCGCTCCCTTTTTTGGCTTTGAAGAACAAGACGTTGGAGAAGGAATAATTTCATCAGAGAAGGTATTGGACCTATTTAAGGAAGAAGAAAGCAATCGGTGGAGTAATCTTCAGCTTGTTTCCTCTCAATTAAAATATATTAGGACTTAAGTGTAGTTAAATATGCAGGGGGCCAGGAGAAATCTCAGACTATGGGTAGAGGGACTCACAGTGTAGTTTTGTTTTGAAATTCCTTCCTCTTAGGGCTTTTCTCAGTCTAACCCTCTTACATTATAACCTAAGTCAGGAATAGGGCCACCAAAATGGCTCAGCAGGTAAGGGCACTTGCTGCCAAGCCTCTGGGCTTGAGTTCGATCCCCAGGGACCCACATGAGAGACTGGAAGGGCAGAAGAATGGATTGATCTGTCTACCCTTCTGTCTGCTTCATTTCCGTTACTTTCTGTTCTGGAAGGCAGGGAACCATCTGATGTGATGTCTGGTATCCTGCCTCTCTCCCCTGAATCAACACTAATTTTTACGCTCTGACTCACTTCTTTCAGCATCTTGGAATTTTTTTGTTGTTGTTGTTGTTTTTGGTCTTTTTGAGACAGGTTCTCCCTGTAGCCCCAGCTGTCCTGGAACTCACTATGTAGACCAGGCTGGTCTTGAACTTACAGAGATCCACCAGCCTCTGCCTCCCGATTGCTGGGATTAAAGGCGTGCGCGACCACGCCGGGCAGCATTTTGGATTTTTTTACACTCTGATTCACTTCAAAACAATATTACTTGGCCGGAGGTCTGCCTCCGGGGGTAGATAGACCAGTGGAGGGGGAGGGGTGTGATGACCCAGCTGGGGCAGACTCCCCTTCTTTCTGGGAAAGACAAAAGCACCTAAGGCAAGGGAGAAAAGGGGAAGTGGGGCAAGGAGAGATGAGAAGCTGGTGCCAGAGAAAAGCAGGCCGCTAGGAGTTTACAGGTAACCAAGGGCGTGATGGAGAATGAACCGGAGAGAGTTCATCTACCGCCGTTCATCAACCGCAAGCAAAACCAGAAGTCTGTTTGCTGTGCACAATGAGCTGTTAAGAGACAGGCATTCACTAGAGATTAAGCCTTCATTTTGCAGCTTGCAGATCAGCTCAGCCCATGGTGGGGACCCCTTTGGCTGTGTCACAACATGGGCCTGTGACATCATGGTGCGTATACACGCAGGAAAGAGGGCGGTAGGCAAGACCAGAAGCTAGGGGCTCTGGAAGGGCAAATCTTGCCTCTTACAGGCTCCTGCCAGCTTCTGTCTTTAAGGGCTCCTACTCTGCTTGATGCGTTCTCTCTCTTCCTCTTGAGCGCCACTCCTGAATCTCAGTAGCCAGGCTTTGGTCTGAGGGTGGAGACTAGCTCAGGAAAGCAAGTTACAAAATACTCCACGTGCCCTTAATGACGAGGAGGAAAACAGCTTCTGTGGAACACATGACCAGTGACAGGCAGAAAATGAATTCATCCTGGCCCCCAGCTGTCAGTCAAAAGACTTTTTACTCATTGTTTAACTCCGATGCAGCTGCCTCTTTACATTTACAGAGAATGTGATCTAGTCAACAGGACAGATCCCTGGTCCCTTCTCCACAGTTCCTGAATTCTAAAGCCTACCATACCCAGCTATGTCAATGTATATGATTATGAATACTGCCTCTATTCTTCCATGGCTGTTTCAGTAACGTGTCCACACATGTTCACAATATTGCTTTTTTTGGGGGGGGTTCTTTTTGAAACAGGGTCTCTTTATAGCCCCAGCTGGCCTGGAACTCACTATGTAGACCAGACTGGCCTTGAACTCACGGAGATCTGCCTGCGTCTGCCTCCCAAGTGCTGGGACTAAAGGTGTGCACCACCACACACCTTTGGCTTCAAAAGTTTTAGGTAGGGGAGGGTAGACATATAGTCTATGATTATCCTTCAATTAATTTGTTTCTATATGATTCTAGTTAGGCCATAAGCATCTTTGTGGAAGCAGCTATATTAGAAATTTCTCCATATTCTTCATCAGCATATTCTCAGATCAATGGTTATTTACTTATTGATTATCCAGTACCTCTTCAGAAGTTATATTGCAATAAACATAAACTCACATAGAAGAAGCAAGAAGTTCTGTGATTTATGTCAAGTACTATATAAATAATGTTTCAAAAGACTTCAGATGGATTCCTGTCTTTCTAAGAAGGAATATGTCATGTACTGTCTTTGAAGCTGTCATCTATTTATTTGGCTTTATTTAATTCCTTTAAGAAAATGATTATACCAGTTCAACTTAAATAATTTCATTTATTATTTTTATTTTATGTGTATGCATGTATTGCCTGCATGTAGGTAAGTGCACCCGTGTTGTGCAATGCCCTCAGAGGTCAGAAGAGGCTGTCGGATCTGAATCCAGATCCCCTGGGACTGGAGTTATGGACAGTTTCTGGGATTCGTACCCGGGTTTTCTGCAAGAACAACCAGTATTCTTAACCGCCGAGCCACCTTTCCAGCCCCTATTAGTTCCATTTTATAAAGATGAGTAGCAGACTCAGAGGGGCCCATTGTATTGGTAGCTTTTCTGTTGCTATAACGAGATACATAAAGCTCAGGAAAAACATTTGTTTGGCTCACATTTTAGGAGGCTGAAAAATTCAAGACTGGGTAGCTCCATCAGTTCAGCCTATGGTCAGACTCCTTTAGTTGGATCACAGGATGATAATGGCATAGATGGAGCATGTGGGAGAGAAGATCACAGACAAGACTGTAAGTGGCAAGCCTTGCTGTTTTAGAACAATATACGCCTGTCAACTAACAACTCAGTAAGACCAGCATTGACTGCTTTCAGGGGCAGCACCCTAATGGCCTAAACACCTCCCGCTAGGCCTCATCTCTTAAAGGCTCCCAGCACTGCTATCTGGTGGAGCAAGTCCCTAACACACAAACACTTTAGGGACATACCTCATCAAAACAATAGTCCCAGGTTACCTTAACCAAGATCGCCCATTGATAGTGGCTGCTCTGCACCCCCAAGATTCATTGTATTTCTTTCTCTTGTCAGTGTTTGGGTGATGTACCACTGAGTTTCCTCTGCTGTGCTCAGGAGTTTCAACTCTTAAGTAGAGTTTGGGGCTCAGATTCTGTATTGTATTCTGTATTCATTTACAAGCCAGACATGGTGGCACACACATACTTGTACTCTTAGCACTTAGGAGGCTTAGGTAGTAGGATCTTTTTTTTTTTTGGACAGGGGCTCCCTAGTCCCAGCCTGCCTCAAAGTCATTATGTGGACCAGGCTGGACTTAATTTTACAGGCTTGTATCCTTATACTTTGCCTCTGCCTCCTGAGGTTAAAGGCGTGCACCACCATACCCTGAGTGGCAGGATAATCTTGAGTTTGATCAAGGTCAGGCTGGGCTACAAAGAAAGCTCCAGGACAGCCTGAGGAGCAGCGTAAGTCCCTGTTTCAAAAAAAACTTAACCAACCAAATGATCGGGAGAGAGAGAGAGAGAGAGAGAGAGAGAGAGAGAGAGAATCTCAGTCCTCCTTGTCGGATAAGGTCACAAGGTCTGCCAGTTTGGATAATTATGGTCACTTCTCAGTGTGATATTTAAAATTAAAAAATAAATCACAACAGCGCTGAAGAGATGACTCAGTGGTTAAGAGCACTTACTGGATTTGATTCCCAGCATCCACATCAGGCAGTTAACAACCACCTGTAATTCCAGTTCTGGGCAATCTGATGCCCTCTGGGCACCTGTATGCAGGCACATAAATCACACAGGTCCACACACCTGCAAACGATGACAATCAGTCAAGCTGTTAGCCACACATGTGTCCTTATACTTTGCACATATTTGCCTCCTAATCTGCCTTTGTCCTTCCCACATTTTACTGGTCCTTTTCACCCCCCAAACAGCCTCCTAACGTGACAGAGGACATTTCAGGCTGTCTTCTCCAACTACCCTTTGCTTCTCCAATTCCTTCTCCCTTTAGACCTCTTGCCCTTCCCTTTTCTGAAGATCTCACAATCTTTAATATTGGTATCACTTATGAATCACCAACAATGGAGATCATATTTGATATTAATCCCATGAAGTTAATTCTCCCCACTTAATCATTAGTAACATTTTCTAGTTGGAAAGATTGTTCTATACTTTTCTAAACCTTTT